TGTACAAATGAAGAAAAGAGGCTCAGAGAACTAAAATAGCACCAAAAGACAAACATATCTGTCTTGCTTAAAAAATCATCATCTTTTCACAATGCCATGGTACCTTGCTGAGATAATATATGTGAAAGTGCTTTGTATTATAAAACTCTGGATTACTATGAACTGTTATTACAGTTTATTTTACTAGTTAGAAATTCTACTGAATAAGAAAATTAGGTTCATTTGCTGCAATATGGCCTCAGTGAACACAGTGGGCTCCCAGTAATTACAAATTCACCTTTTTTCTATGTATAGTCACAAATCAGCTTTCAATAATTTGTTTGCCACTTTTTCACTTTAGGCATGATAAGTTTATAAATTCTAGATTCACCCCTTCTTTCTTAAAAATCAGAACATTTATCCTTCTCTGGGTTTCTGGCACTCCTCTCATCAAGAAATATGGCATTTGGGGTTTTTTTTGTGTTTGCCTACAAAATGCTTATATGATACTGAGAGAAACAAACTAGACAATAAGTAGAGAGTTATATAAAAATACATCAGATATTAAATTGAGTGACAGAAATATAGAAATGTTCTAGACAGTCAAGGTAGTGGTCAATGTGGGCTATAGGTATCAGTGAAGGCACCTTGGTAAGGACTGTCACTCTAATTCCAAGAGATGGGAGTCTCTGATTTTGGACTTTTCCATAATCAAGCAAAGAGATCCCGGAAGTCTGTCTTTAGTCTCCTCCACTCTTCCACACCTGCCTGGTTTCTCTCCTGATTGCATTGGTGCCCAGCAGCAAGGCTGACCCTCGAGGCTATCTGGTTATTCCTGTTGGGCTGCAGTCAGTGCCCTGAGACACATTTAGCTGAAAGAAGTCACAGAGGAGTCTGTGGGGAATCCTATGATGACTGAGGAAAGGGGGAGCAGTTGTTGCCCAGAACGCCCGCAAAATGGAGCTGCAAGAAGCTCAGGAACTTTTGCCCAAAGACTTTCATCTTATGTGTATTGCAAAGATGCATTGAGCACGTACTTTATACCGGGCACTGGGCTAAGTGCTGGAGATAAAGTCACACTAAACATGTTCCCTAGGAAGTTTCTTACCGTAGGTGGTTCTTGAGCTGACTCTTGAGCAGGTACTTGATATAGGATGGATGAAAAGGACTCAGGAGGAGGGTAAGACAAGCCAGGCAGTGGAAACAGTTGAGGGAAAGGAAGCAGAGAAGCATAAAATGACTTGTTAAATTTGGGAAACTGAAAATGCTTCTGGAAGGCCAGACAACATGTTGACTGTGCGAGAGTGGTGGGGAATCTGGACAGGTGTCAGCAGGCAGATGCTAAAGGACTTTGGTTGCTAAGACAGGGAGTTTGAACTCTTATCATAAAAGCTACAGTGGCCACTGAAGGATTTAATCAACAAAGTGAAATGATTACAGCCATGTTTTATTAATAGAAAGAAGGCTCGTAATGAGAAGTGTGGAGGACAAATTGGCAAAGGATTATTCTGAAACCCAGGGAGTCCAGTCAGGAGGAGGCTGTGGCAGTAATCAAGGTTCATCAGTGTATAAAAATGATGGCTGGATGCCATGGGTTGACATGGAGGAGCAGATACCAATAACCAATACTCTGGAGTGTCTGTCCAACTAACTTTTTCTCTAAGGCTGTCCCTCACCTGTCCCCCAGGTGGACATGTTTATACTACGTGACCCTGCCTGACTGTCCTAATGGTCATAGCCAACTGGCCCAAAGTGGACCAATCAGATAATATCAGCCAGGGAATCTGAGATTGAACCATCCTTGCACAATATCTCTGTAAGGTTATTGACTCTGGAGATAAAAAGTCAGGTAGTATATGGCAGTCATATTTGGCTATGGAAAAGTTAAACCTATTAAATCTAGAAGACTCAGGTCAAGGCTAGGAAGAAAGATGAGAAAGAGAAGCTGCATGTTTCCATATAGCTTTTGAGCCTCTGATAGTCTTTCAAGAAGCCTTGACTCCTGGAGACACCCCAGAATCCTTCCAATAAGTCCCAATCCACACTCTCAAACACCCTTAATTTTTTCATTTTCCTTTCTTTCTTTTTTTTTCTTGTTTTTGTTTTTGAGACAGAGTCTCACTCTGTTGCTCTGAGTAGAGTGCAGTGGCATCATCTTAGCTCACTGCAACCTCAAATTCCAGGACTCAAAGGATTCTCCTGTTTCAGCCTCCTGAGTAGCTGGGACTACAGGTGCATACCACTTGCCTGCCTAATTTTTCTATTTTTGGTAGAGACAGGATCTCACTCTTGCTCCATCTGGTCTCAAACTCCTGCCCTCAAGCAATCCTCCTGCCTTAGCCTCCCAGAGTGCTAGGATTACAGGTATGAGTGCAGCCTAATTTTTTCTTAATCTTGTAGGGAATGAAAGTGCTAAATAAAACCAGAGGAAAAATTAGAATATCACCATTTTGAAACCTCTAATTAAATCATGAAGCTAGGCAGTATTTAAAGCTCCTAACAAGACAAAAAATAAAGCAATCGGACATTATGTATCTCCAAATGGAAGTACACATATTGCTGTCAGAAAATCAAACTTGAGTTTGACCAAGTGTCTAAATATAAATAGCTGTTTATAGGATACAAGATCTAGAGGAACATGTTAAACTATACCAAGGGATGAAATTTGGAGTGTTCAGACTATGGAAAGCACTACCAAGCAAATTACCTATTTCTTCATGTAACAAAAAGAGATGGTGGAGTGATCCAATAAGTTTCATGAGACCTAAGGGATACATGAATCAATTTTAATGCATAGACTTTATCTTCATCTTGACTCAAACACATTCTTTTGAAAGTTCTGAGATAATTAGGGAAATTTGTTCACTGACTGGATATTTTTTGACATTAAAGAATTACTGTTTTTTTTTCAATGACAGTGATGTTACCACTATGTTTTTCTTAAAAGAGTGCTGTACTTTTGAGATACATACTTAAATTTTAACAGATAAAGAATATAATTGATATGATTTCCTTCAAAATTATTAAATGTGGCAAAACAAAGTGGGAAGTATAGATAAACAAAATTGGCTCTGGAATTTATAATAGTTGGCACTGGGGGTCCATTATATTATTCCCTCTACTTTTTAGTGTTTTAAATTTTTCATAATAAACAGTTTTCAGGAATACATAAGACTATTAACTCATGAACGCAAGGTTGGGTTAACATCTCAATATCAATTAATGTAATGTATATATCAATAGAATAAAGAACAAAAAATGTATGATCATCTCAATAGATACAGAAAAAATATTTGACAAAAATCCAATCACCACTTCCTGATAAAAACATCCAACCAACTATTAATAGCAATAAAAGAGCACTTTCTCAACTTGATAAAGGCATTTACCAAAAGCTCACAACTAACATCATATGTCCTTGTAAAAGACTGAATGTTTTTCCCCCAATATCAAGAACAAGGCTTTTCACTTCTCTTCTATTGTACTAGAGGTTCTTGACATCCAATTAGGCAAGGAAGTTAAATAAAAGACATATAGAATGTAAAGAAAGAAATACAACTAACTCTCTTTGCAGATGATGTATCTTGTATGCAGATCTTATAAAATCCTAAAGAGCCCGCTAAAAATTATTAGAATGATAAATGAGTTCAGTAGGATTGCAGGGTAAAAAAGCAATATACAAAAATCAACTGTATTTCCATATATAAGCAATAAACAATCTGAAAATGAAATTAAGAACATTCCTCTTATATTAGCATCAAAAAGAACAATAGACTAAAATATTTAGAAATCAATTTAACAAAAAGTACAAAACTATACTTTGAAAATGATAAAACATTGTTGAAAGAAATTAAAGACCTAAATAAATGTAAAGACATACCATATTCATAGATCAAAAGACTTAATATTGTTAAAATGACTTACTGTTCAAAGTAATCCACAGATTCAGTGCAATCACTATTAAAATCCCAGCTTGCACCTTTTCAGAAATTGCCAGACTGATTCTACAATTCATACAAAGTGCAGAGGAACAAAAATAGCCAAAACGATCTTGAAAAAGAACAATGTTGAAGGACTCACACATTCTAATTTTAAAACTTACTGCAAAGCTACATTAATCAAAACAATGTTGCACTGGCATAGGATAGACATATAACTCAATGGAGTAGAACAGGGAGTCCTGCAGTAAAACTCACATTTATGGTGAGGCGATTTTCAGCAAGAATGCTTTAGAACTCAGATCATAAAGAAGAATCCATATTCCTGACTCCCAGTACAGTGCTCTTTCCACCAAACGACACTGACTGAAAGAATACAGCGGCCTCTATTGGGTTGGGAGGATGGTAAGGAGGGACTGAAGGGCATCAATTGTACCTACTTAATTTTGGTGGCTTTAATATAGCCCATTTTAGAAAAGACTGAAAATCTTGCCTATACATATCATAAAAGAGTCTGCGAAAATCAGAGCATACAGAAAAACGGGAAAGAGGAAAGAAGACACCAACTACAACCAGCACGGTGATGACAACAACAGCCACACTTTTACTAAATGCTGGGCACATTTCTAAACATTTTGAATTGATTAAGTCACTCAATACTCACCAAAACCATAATAAGTATCATTCTGGGCCAGGTGCAATGGCTCACGCCCGTAATCCTACACTCTGGGAGGCCGAGGTGGGAGGATGGCTCGAGGTCAGGAGTTCAAGACCAGCCTGAGCAAGAGCAAGACCCCGTCCTCCTAAAAAAATAGAAAGAATTAGCCGGACAACTAAAAATATATAGAGAAAAAATCAGCCAGGCATGGTTGGCACATGCCTGTAGTCCCAGCTACTCGGAGGCTGAGGCAGGAAAGATTGCGTGAGCCAGGAGTTGAGGTTGCTGTGAGCTAGGCTGATGCCACAGCACTCTAGTCAGGCAACAGAGCAAGACTCTGTCTCAAAAAAAAAAAAAAAAAAAGTATCATTCTGGTCTTATTATATAGATGAGAAAAGTAAAGACCAAGAGTCTGTATAACTTACCCGTAGAGAGTTGGGAATGTCAGGGTAGTGATTCTCAGCCCTGACGGCACATTGGAATCACCTCAGCTTGTGAAATAGCGTTGGGCCCACTAAACACTCAGGCCAGTTAAATCAGACTGTCTGGTGGGTCTTTAGTTCTCCCCAGGTGATTCTGACGTGCAGGCAAGCGTCTGAACTATCATATCCGAGTGCGGCCAATTCTTCTCAGTGAACGGGGTAAGGAGCCTGCTCACCTGGTTTAAGGAAAGTGGTTTCAGAAGGTGGTCCCTCCCCAGAAACCCATGAGAATGCAAACATGAAAACTCTCAGGCCTCCAACCCAGACCTTGAATCTGTCAGAAACTCTCGGATGAGTAGTCTCTAAGTTGGCTTCTAGTGTTAAAACAGCATTTCCATAATTCCTCCCTAATTTTCAAGACCGATTCAAGTTCCTGGTGGAAGAAGATTTTCCTAAGCGATAAACAAACACACTTGAATCTCCAGCCCCGAGAAGCCAGCATAGCATGGTGACTTTGGCGGGGCTGAGGAAGGCACCCGAGATATTACTGGCTCTCGGGAGGCCACAGGGGAGCTGGGTGCTCCCGGCCAGAGACACAAGAAGGGATTGTCAGGTGCAAGAAGCAAATGTGGGAGTGTTGAGAACAGCGTTTACCCTCTTAACAATGTCATGTTATTTCCAAGCCCTGGCTTGGGGTAATCTCTCTGAGAAGCAGAGGAGGTTGGGACGTCAAAGACACTAAATCACTGCAGCAAAACAATTATTTTAGGAACAGCCTTTATTAGTGTCCTGGGGCTGCCAAAACAAAGTGCTGCACACTGGGTGGCTTCAACAACAGAAATATGTGGCCCCAGGCTGTGCGTGGTGGCTCACGCCTGTAATCCTGGCACTCTGGGAGGCCGAGGTGGGAGGATGGCTCGAGGTCAGGAGTTCGAGACCAGCCTGAGCAAGAGCAAGACCCCGTCTCTCCTAAAAACATAGAAAGAAATTAGCCGGACAACTAAAAATATATATAGAAAAAATCAGCCAGGCATGGTGGCACATGCCTGTAGTCCCAGCTACTCGGGAGGCTGAGGCAGGAGGATTGCTCAAGCCCAGGAGTTTGAGGTTGCTGTGAGCTAGGCTGATGCCGCGGCACTCACTCTAGCCTGGGTAACAGAATGAGACTCTGTCTCAAAAAACAAAAAACAAATGTGTGACCTCACAGTTCTGGAGGCTACATGTCCAAGATCAGGGTGTCAGCAGAGTTGGTTCCTTCTGAGGGCTGTGAGGGAAGATCTGTCTCTGACTCTTTCCCAACTTCTGGTAGCCCCCGGGCATCCCTGGGCTTGCAGATGACACTCTCCCTGAGTCCTCATTTCTCTCCCCTCTGCATGCGTCTCTCTCTCTGTGTCCAAATTTCCCCTTTTTATAAGAACACCAGTCATATTAGATTAAGGCCCACACGAATGACCTCATTTTAACCCATATGCAAGGACCTTATATCCAAATAAAGTCACATTCACACATACGGGAGGTCAGGACTTTAATATCTTTTGCAGGGGAGGTGCACAGTTCAATCCATAACACAGCCCATGCTTTGCTCCCATCTTCTGGTTAACATGGGGCCTGCGTAAACTTTCCTTAGTAGATTTTTTGAGCCCTCGGTTTTCTGTCTCTTGTCCAGGGCTGTGTGGCTTCCAGGCACATTCCTCACTGTCTTCCGCCTGGAGAAGAGTAACCAAGTGCTACAGCTGCCTGCCAGGAGTTCTGTCCAACAAAGACAGGCCTCAAAGACATCTTCCCAGTGCTATTGACAGGCAGCGATTGCACGGAGAAGCAGCAGAGCAGGGAGGAACCTCACGGGTACTGTGGTCATTTTACAGGGGAGCAGACCAGGACTCAAAAAGGCTATGTCATCCTTGTCCAGGTGAGTGTCAGAACTAGGTTGCAAACTCGATCTCCTCATTTGAAGTCTAGCACTCCTCTTACTCTGCTCATGACAAATTCAGCTGTGCACTAGACACTGTAAGACAACCAAAGGAAGTCTTGGAAGAAGACTTTCATCTGGAAAGGAGTCTTTGGAAGGGTCTCTGGAAGAAGTATCTGAAAGGAGTCTCTGGAAGAAGTATTTCATCCAGGTAAAAATGCACATCGTTTCACATTTTGGAGTCTCTGGAATAGAGATGCTATTTACAACTGATGGCATGTCCATCAGTTGTAGAAAGAGAGAGAAAGAGAAATAGAAATAGAAAGAGAAATAGAAATAGAAAGAGAAAATAGAGAAAGAGAAAAGAGAAATAGAAATAGAAAGAGAAAATAGTGTTTTCTCTTTTTTAGTGGAACATAACAATAAACATACATCTTACTTGGGTGTCTTAAATCCAGTAAAGTTGGATGTAAGAAGTGGCCCCAACCTTCAAGGAGTCTCCCACCTAATTATATAATTTGGGAGACGAGATTTTGTCATTTGATGTCACAGGAAACAGTATAGACAGAATATAAGTGAGACCTACACATGAACATCTTTGACTATACAAGGCAAGAAAAGGAATTGATTGAAAATTCAAAATGCATCCTGCCGCTACCACTCCTTTCTAAACCCTTCCAAAGACTCCCTTCCTTGTCTCCAGATTAAGGCACAAATCCTTACATGGGCCACAAGACTCGGCATGTCCTGGCTCTTCCTGAGATTGCATCTTCATCCTGCAGCACATTCTACTCTTCCCGCGGTGGTTCTCTTTCTGCCATAATCGCCACGTTTCTTCCCACCACACGGGTTTTGCTCATCCTGTTTCCTCGAGTGCCCCTTCCAACAAGGGTCGTTTCCTTGGAGAAACTTTCCCTCCCTGATTCCCTGACTTGGTCAAGTCCATTCCTCATGGGGTCTTAAAGCAGAATGTAGCTTTCCTTTGGGGCCCTTGCCATGGACACATACAGCAATACATGCATTCGATTATTTGATTAATACCAGTTTCCTCCATTAGACTTGAAGCTCCTTGAGATTCGATTCCTGTCTGTTTTTTTCATGATTTATCCCAGGACCTCGCAGAGTGCCTAATAGGTAGATGATGTCAATAAGTATTTGTCGAATAAATGAATGATGAATATACACACGTCTAGAGAAGATTTCATGGCGGGTGCATGATTTGACCTTCATCTTGAAAAATAGTAAGCAATGAGAGAGCACAGCATTGGGTCACACAAACATAGTAAAATCCCAATCCTGCAACAATGAAATTGTTGGGAAAATTAAACTAAATTAGATAATATATAAAACACACATGCAGTGTCTAGGATGCAGATAGCACTTAATAAATCATAGCTTTTATTGTTGGTATTTCATGCTCATCTGTATTGGGCTGTCCAGAGTAGAGGTCCTGCCTGATTCAATACTTTTGTATCGCCTAGTGCCTTGTACCTACCAAGTGTTCATAAATGGCCATTGACAGAATGCCTTGCATTAAGGTTAAAAATGTTTTTGAAGGAAAGTACAGAGATGATTGAATTTCTTTTGTACTCAGATCCACATCCATCAATAAATAGGAATGGTAAAAGTCACTTTCATGTTTTTAGAGAAATTGTTTATGAAGGGTAAGAAATCATTCAGAAGAGCAGGGAAACATAGCCAACCCCCTCTCGGTGCAAATGTTCCTCATGCACTATCTGTGATTCAGCACTGTTTTCAGTTGATCACTGGTCCGTCGTTTTAAGGGAGAAAGGATCCCTGAAAACAAGTCATGGAAGGGAGGGGTCCATCGATGTCACTGACCTATGAGCTTCTAGTGTGGCCCCCAGGGTTGCTCGCAAGCTCTTGGTCAATGCCTACTTCCTCTGGTCGCCATTTTTGGCTGCAATCCTCATAACATAGAAAGTTGACATGGTGTGTTTAAAAATCAATTTCTTTTCTTTTATTGTGCCTAGACTGTAGTGCAATTTTTCAATCCATGAATATTGACATTTTTCAACACAGAAATATTTAAATCTATTTTTGCCTTTGCCCATTGCTTCTAGCTCTATTTTATAACACTATTTGTACTGTGGATCCCTATTCTCTTGTCTCCAACTCTCCCTCTTTGTCTTTATGACTCTGTTCTCTTTTTGTTAAACTTGTTATTTTGAGATAGATAATTGTTGATTCACATACAGTTGTTGGAAATAACACAGAGAGATCCGACATACCCATTGTCCAGTTTTTCCCCATGGTAATATCTTGCCAAAATATAGTACAACATCACAACCAGGATATTGACATTTATACAATCCACCAATCTTATTCAAATTTCCTATTTTATTTGTACTAATTTGTATATGTGTGTGTGTGTTTATGTGTACCTACTTATGTGTAATTTTATTACATATGTTGGTCCTTGTATTTGCCACCATAGTCGAGACTCAGAACAGTTCCTTCACCTCAGATAGCACTTGTGCTGTCTTTTTATAACCACATCCACCTGCCCTCTGCTCCACTTCACACTTGATTCTTTTTCTGTGCATTAATTTTACATTTGTTTATTACACTACTGGCTTGATTTTCTGCAATATTAATTCTGCTCTCTACTGCCTTCAGTATAAATGGTAATTCTATAGTTATACTTTCTTTCTTCACAATCTTTTTTTAGCAATCCTATTTGTATCTCTTTTTTTATATGTCTTTATTTTTTTCCAGCTTTATTGAAGTATGATTGAAAAGTTGTATATAAGTATACAGAGTATAAAACATGATGTTTTGCTATATGTATACATAGTGAACTTTACTACAATCAAGTTAATTAATATCTATCATCTCACAAAGTTATGCTTTGTATGTATGTGTGTGTGTGTGTGTGTGTGTGTGTGTGTGTTGAAAATGCTTGAGACCTGTCTTAGCAAATTTTAAATATGCAATGCATTATTCACATCTTTTGCTTTGCTATCCTCTTTTCTCTTTGTGGCTATTTTCATGAACATAAAATTGTGCAAGAGCCTGGAGAATCGTCTAATCCAGGGAGGCAAATTCTTGGCAAATATGCTGACACACATTTCTCCCCAACAGCAGACACTGCCGGTCAAATACTGCTTATGGCTTGCAGTATTCCAGGCAGATACAACTAATCAATTGAACATGGTGTACAAAAGTAAACCTGTTTTCCATCTGTGGTGTTTTCCAATCCTTCATTTTATACATGGAGAAACTAAGGACAAACATAAGAGAGTCTGTACCCAAATTGCACAGGTAAGTTAGTGTTAGAATTGGGGCTATCTGAAAATTATGAAA